CACATACATATTTATACATATATACACTGTATATATATATATATATACATAAATACATATATATACATATACATATATATACATATATACACTGTATATAGGGAACAAGGGTGAAAACAGACACTTGAAACGAATAATTTATAATAGTGTAAAAGAAATGGCAACAGTGAGGAAGAAATAAAGGCAGATGGACAGTGTCTCGAGCGTCTTTCCAAATCAAACCTGGCAGAATCGCACACTGCATGACCAGTCAAATTATCTATGCCTCCCTGTTTGTGTTTGCGTTTCTGTGTGTATGAGTGAGTAAATGTGTGTTATCTGCAATCTGCAGCCTGTGAGCTGTGATTCTGCAATTATACCGTTGGGCTACTGATAGCAGACGTGTGTATCTGTCCTGCACTAGCAGTTCAGAATTAACCACATCCTCACACAACAACACAAACACAGGCACAGTAACAAAGGAGGGTAAGCAGGGGGCTTACGCTGAACAAGGTTGAGAGGATTAGCCGAGAATTAGCCTTTGTGTATCTTAGCCATCCCACTCGCTGCCTGTTTGAAACCCCGACCCACTACACGTGAAACAGCGTCAGGATATCCTCATCAGGACCCTACTTTACACCCTAACATAGCTGCCTGTTGGCCTACATGTCAGGCCTGGAAGTAAGCATGGACAGCAATAGAGTATACGTGATGCTCCTGACGTTTATGTTTTTTTCCAGGCATGCTTGAAAACAAACTTCTAAAGCCTGCCAGCTTCTGAGGCTTCAGAACACAGGCGCAACTGTCCCCATAAGGCTAGCAGAGACAGACACCAAAAATAGTTTGCACTGAAAGCATGCATGCGTTTTTGGTGTCATAGAGCCCCCAGAGCTGCTTGTCTCTGTCAGATTGGGCAAAACAACTCTGCAATCACCAAATCGTGTGTAAATACATACTGTCAGCATGTGGTTAAAAACGTATCTGGGTTTGAAATCTCTGCACATGTTGACTGGACTGCGAGGAGTTTAGTCTCGTGAGTGTTGTCTCACCTGTGTGGGTCTGTCCTGTGATCTACTGCGTCAGCTGGCCGGCCCAAGTCCAGGTGCTGGTCCAGAACCTGCTGGCGGAATTCAGACACCTGGTACTGACGATCCTCTTTCTCCTGCCGCAGCTTACGCTGCCGCGCCAACCACCTCTCCTCCTCGTTGTTCCTCTGAGCAATCATTGAGGCCGAGAGCCCCGCCACTACAGCGCTGGATCCCATGTAGAGGCCGTGGCCCGGGATTAGACCAGGGATGGGATGATGTGATTGGACCATTGAAGAGTGGAGTCCTGGCGGCACTGGTTTGGGAGCTGGAGGTGTGGGATCTTTGGTTTTCTCTGTGGAGGGAGAAAGGTCAGTGTTAAAATTTAGGGGTACAACTAATTGCTTTTCATTTGATGATTATCTTCTCAATGCATTGATGATTCGTTCAGTCTGGAAAATGTCTGACAGTGAAGTGTCCATCACAAGACATGGAAAAGAGTACAAATTCTTCAAATTGCATGTTTTGTCTGACCAACAGACAGTCCAAAACCCCAAAATATTCAGTTTACAATCATAGAATAATAATTTTAAAAAAGAGTAAGGAACAGCTGAGTTTTTAGGTATATAGCTTTTATTAACTGATTATCATCAATTCTTGCAGGTTTAAAAAAAGAATTTAATAATTTGACTCGTTCATAAATGTCCTCATTGTTTCAGCTGTAACTGATGTATAGTGTTTATAGGGACAAGTGTTTACAGGCAGTAGGATTATAGCTTCAGGAAGCTACAGAGGAAGCACGGACACATACCAGCCCGATTAGGGGTGAGTCTCTCAGGCTTGGTTCTGTCCTCCTGCCCCCTCATGGCATGGAGCTCAGCCAGATAGTGGCTCTCCATGGCCTTGGATGCCTGCAGCTCCTTGTCCCTCAGTGCTCTCTCCTTCTGCCTCTCCAGCTCCTTCTCTCTTTCTCTCTCCCTCTCCCTATCCCTTTCGCGCTCTCTTTCCCGCTCACGCTCTCTCTCCCTCTCCAGCTCCTTCTCCCGCTCCCTCTCCCTGTCTCGTTCTCTCTCCCGTTCTTTCTCTCTCTCAGCCTCACGCTCTCTCTCTTTTTCGCGCTCACGCTCTCGTTCTCGATCCCTCTCTCTCTGTCGCAGCTCATCCTCCAGCTGAAGCCTAGAAGATAGACAGGGAGGTAGAAGTAGAAAGATGTCAGTTAAATTAGAAAGTAATCATGGCACACCGCTGAGATGTATTGTATGCATGCACTTGTGAGTGTACGTATGCGTGAATTAAGGGGACCTTACCTCTCAGACTGCAGTGCTGACATTGAGGGGTGCGTGAAGTCTCCAGGGTAGCGGACCCCTGGTAGGTGCATGTGAACAGCCGAGGGATGCATGGGAGGTAAAGCTCCCCCTCCTTGCAGCTGATAGAAAGGTGACCTCAAGGCAGAGAGGCAGAACGGGTCATCCATCCTAGGAGATAAGCATTGCAATAAAAAAAAGAACAGAGAGAGAGAGAGAATTCAGTCACTCTGTGTGACGGTGCAGCATTCACTTCAATTAACCTGTGCGCTTCCATCTCACAAAGAAGCAACATCACAGGGTCTTCCATCTCTCATAGAAAGAAGCAGTATCTGTCAGCTAGCCTCAATCACCACACAGCAGCAAGCGAGAGACCGTGCTGTGTTTTGATGCACAACTTGTGTATGTGTGTGACATCCACTGCATATCCCCTCATTAAATCCATTACAGTGCAGTGTGTGATGGGTGCTGCAGTCCTCTGATCTTGCCGGGTTGACAGACCAGGGGCACGCTGCCTGTGTCATAGCCCAAAGCAAGCAGGGTCCTTCTCAACGCACACAGAGTCTACACGATCAAACGTAGTAGACATTTAAAATAGATGTATTTTTAAACAAACACATTACACATAGATTTTTTGCTGCTGGTGTTTTCTCTGTATGATCACCAATACAGAACATTATAAATTACCTTAGACTAAACTCATTTAAAATGTTCTTTATGAGAGAATGGACAAACCTCAGTAATGAACAGGATCTTATCTCAGATGAATAAACAGCTCAGGGATTATTTTATGGTAATTTCTCACAAAGCATGCATGAACCATCTCCAGATGTATAGAGTTAAGTGGCAAAACCAGCCACGGCTCTCTTTTAGATGTTCATATTTTATTCATAAGCAGAATCTAGCTCGGGTAAAGACAAAGAAAATGGGTCTCGCTATTAACTGGCTTTGTTTAAGAAGCTTCAAAATAGATACAACTCCTTCATTAATAAAGCAAACACAGAGTTTTGTTCGTCTCAAACTAAAAAAAAATATTAGGTATCCATAGACGAACTGTCACATAAGTGTAGTGCTTCTCCTTGTTTTATGAGCACTCTAATTGAGCAAGCAATAAAGCATCATTACAGCAGATATGAAGGTTGTAAATTACATTACTGCAGCTTTTGGCAATAAACAGCGATCTATATGTATTTTTAATCAATCTCTTAAAAGCATTTTGACACAACTGACCAGGATGTTTTTCAAACAGAGGCTTCGTAGCAGCAGCAGCAGCCTGTCAGATGATGTAATATATAAAGCTATACTTCAGGACTGCAGTGCATCTGGTATGATAAACTCTGCTCTTATGTGTTGCAAAGAGGTACCCCAGTGTTCAGTGAAAGAATGTAATGTTTTTACATTATACTCTGGGACTTCTGTTTTAACAGACTTCCTTTCTGTCCATGATGATACTGTGGGTTTGGTTATCTTTTATCAGTTATTTGTATTCGGTTACATTTGCTTTCGGTTTACCTGGAACCAGATTTGTTACATGTTTTATGCCACCTGTCTAATTCACATTATTCTTCACTTCTCTTACACTTAAGGAAATCCCTCCCCCAGTTAAAAAAATAAAATAAATAAATGAACATCAATATTTTACCTCTGGGAACACGAATTCAAGGTCAGCGATACACTAATGTGTTTACTGCCGAGTCTAAACATTACAAATACTTAGTTCACTCATATGCACTGGTTTGCACAATTTGCTCTCAGAGGAAATGGATGCCAAGTCAACAAAACAAACTGATGGAGAGGCTTACCTGTATGGCGTGAAGGAGGGGTGGGGCAGGTAGCTGGGGTGGTAGTAAGCAGCTGCAGTGGCGGGGTCCAGGCCCATGGGCAGAGAGGGCATGCGGAGGGCATCCTCAGTCGTGGCATAGGGCCGGAAACCACGGAGGTACTCTTCTGGTACATGACCTGCATTAGGCAACTGTCTGGGCAGACTGAAGGTAAGAGAGGCGGAGGGAGCACAAAAGAGAAAAGCCACGGTCAGTTTGATTTGTATGTGTCCACTGTTACGCTTTGAAATATTTTTCTCTCAGCACCAACGTCAACAAGACAATTGTTTGTCATTTGTTGCGGCTGCTTATTCCAACGAGTTAAATATACACCATGAATTATTCATCATACACTTAGAAGAGTGCGTGTAGAAACTTCCATTTAAATTGAAACATGTAAACTACTCAAATCCAGAGACACAGGCAGAGCCGTGTGAGACTCACTTGAGAGGCTGGAACCGTGAATCCTGCATGACAGCACCGGGGCTGAGACCAAAGGCATAGGGGTTTCCCAGGAGGTGGGCAGGGACTGAGGGGCCACCCTTTTCCTGTGGGAGGTTCCCCTCTGCACCCAGACGTTCCCTGCTGGCCCCACGAGGCCCCGAGTCAGCCTGGAGAGAGATGCAGAGAGAGAGTTTAGTCATTGTTCGTGAAGACCTGTGACCGTCTCGGTTGTCAGTGCTCATGGAACCCATCCTGTGAAGGGGGAGACGGGGAAAGAATAGGACTGTATGGTGCAGCAGCCTCCCTCACTCGTCTTACTACCTCAGGCCCTATTAATCACTTTCTCACACAACCACCTCCCTGTAAAAATAGACATATCATCATTTCTCTGGAGGGAATATAGGATAAAAATGGTGAAGCAGGCATAGAGTGGTAAAAAAAAACAAAAAACAGCCTCACTGTTTTTCTCTAATTGTATACAACAGATGTCATCTGTATGATCGATGAAGATGAGGTAATGGTAGATGTACAACAGCAGTACTTCTAAAGAGATGATGACTTTGATCTTGGCAAAGTGTGTTTGTGTGTGTGTGTGTGTGCATACAACTTAAACACTAACATCTAAAAGAAAGACAACAGAGTCAAAAAAGCAACATCCCTCTGCCTCTGTTTCTCTTTCTTCCCTTTCTCCTCCCTCTCTCCCTTTGGCAGCAAGCCTGGTCTCACTTATCCAATCCCACAACAAACACGCACGCACGCACGCACACACGCACACACACTCAGCAGGCACACCCACTGTTTCAGAGCTACAGAGACATCCTGCTGTGGGAGTGGGAGTGCATTTTCTGAAGTTTTGGTTTCCCTCTGCCTACAAATGCAATCGTAGAAAAGAGAAACGTACAACCCTTGTAAGTTGAACAAGGAAACTGTTTGTGGAGGGATACACAGTCGAGGAGGATTTTCACAGGTATGATGGAACAGTTAATCCCACCTCCCACCAAACGACAATTCAAGTTGAAGTTAGCAAGGGATCAACTAGATGGAAAGACTGGAAAGAAGGAAGAAAGCAAATATATACGGAGGAAGACATAAAGCGGAACGAGAGGAGAAGGCACTTCTTGCCCCACTAAATTAACCTCTGGGCTCGCTGGGATTAGAGAGAGACCTTACAGCAGCACAGGCCTCTCTCTCACTACTGCCTCCGATAAAATAAATCCAATTTAGGGAGCCATTACCTCCACATACTGCTCTGCAGCCACTGACCCAGGCTGACACTGATGCGCTAACATCCAATCTTAAATGCCTCTAATGTTTAGACTCCCCACATCCCCCTTTGTTTCTTAGACGCCTCCACGTTGCAGTAGTTTAATGTTACCGTTTTCTCCTTGTTGTTTTTTTGCGCTTCACTTAACAGTAAGGCACTCTACTGCCTCCGACCTATTGTCCCCGTAAACCCCCTACACCACTCTCATCCTCTCAGAGCTTTATGAGCAAAGGGAGAAGGCTGACCTCCCCTCCTAATCAGCAGCCAACTGGAAAAGAGGTTAATATATGTCAAAAGAAGTTAATATCAGATTGTGACTTGGGAGCGGCTCTCTGTGTGTTCCTTCTTTGACCACAGAGTCTATTTTTCTCTATCTGCCTAGATGTCCAACACTACCAATAGCGGGTGGGTGGCTCTCTGGAAGTCTTAGTAAAAAAATGGTGGTTGGCAAGCAGACAAACGAATATTACATTTTTTGTATCTTGACCCACATGAACTTGCAGATGAAGTCATGTGCACATGTGTGTATTTCCCCCCCGAGCATCAAAAAGATGTACAGCTGGCAACATAACTCAACCACAAATCAAGCTGTTGCATCGGAAAGGGACTAAATTTAAGAAAAGAATGTTATAGTTAAACGAAACAACAATCCGCCTACCACGTTTGATGGCATAACAACACGAGAACCTTCACAGCTAATATAATCATGCATGGTCTATTTATAATCTATTTATAGGAGTTGTTGACTATCTGGTATTTATCTGGTGACTAGAAGTTGATATGAATCAAATGTGGGTTGAAACCTGCATCATCACAGAGTTTGTGTGTGATAGGGGGCATGGTTTTATCATCATCTCATGACTCAATAACAGTCAATTGGTGCAATTGCCAGACACAAATCACCAATCAAATTTAATCAACTGTTCCTTTTCAACAAATTTCACAGAAATCCCATCCTAGGAGGAAGGAACAACGGTGCCAGTAAAGTAACAATGTATGGTGGTGCTGATGATATTTGGCAACTGAAAAATATTGCCACTGAAAAACTGAAAGCTCTTCTTATATGCGATATGATCAGCAAAAAAAGTAATGTAGAAACCTGTTTGTAGATGAGAATGTGTACATATGCACATGACAGCCGAAGCTTAGTCCCCATTTGTGTATGTCTACTCTGTGCATGCGTGTGTGTGCGTGTGGATGCACGCCTGTAGAAAACCATGCACAGGCGTGGGTGTAACAGGTCAGCACCTTGAAAAACACATACATCACAAAGATAGAACCTTCCAACCCCATTAGAGAGGAACCTTAGTCACTCAGGCACCTACACATCCAACCAGCCATTTTGACCTTTCACCACCTGCCAAAAAACAGCCTACTATATAACACACACTATTCAACAGCACCATGCCATATACAAAGTACAGAGCACAAATACAAGCACTCAGACTCAAAGACACATCCATTAACAGCCATCTTCCTCTGTGTGAGCCAGGCCCCTGTAACCCCCCCACTGAGGGTGGGAGACCCTGCGTATTGTAGAGCGCTCATTTACGCCTCAGATGGAGCCATGAATCCAAATTGCCAATTAAAAAGCAATTACAGGCAGCAGCGGGAGCAGACTCCTGCAGTCATTAAAGCAAAATGCCAACGCACCAAGCCCCCCC